GAAGTTTTGCAGGGGTGCGGCAGCGGTGGTGACGGTTTTCTTGCAGGACTTTCAGCAAGACTTTTTGTTTTGAGGCCGGGGACGCCTGTGCGGCATTTTCGGCAGATGTATCCGAAGACGTCGTTGGCGCCGCCGAGAGGAGCCGGCTGAAGTAGCTGCGGCTGTTCTCCTCGACGGGCTGGAAGACGAGGCGCGCGAGCAGACCGCCGTAGTTGTTGGCCAGAGCGTAGACGCCCTGGGCCTGGGGCGTCGACAGGATGGATACGAGAAAGGTGTCGCCCTGGGTGAGGACGTGCTTGACGAGGCTCTGGGCCATCATGGACGAGGCCAGACGCAGGGTGGGGCGGTAAAAGTACGACCAGACATAGTCGGCGCCTGACCCGTCCTCGGTGGTGAGTGTACGCGGCAGCAGCGAGAAGCTGTTGCCCGTCTCGGCGGTCGAGGCGAGACGGACGCCGGCGCCCAGGTAGACGAGCAGGAGGGCAAGGCCATAGGCGAGCTGGCCGAGGGCGAAGGGAAGGACGCCAAGCTGCAAGCCGGACCGGGAGGCAGAAAGCGCGGCGGCAAAGGTGACGATGCACCGCAGGAAGGTGGCGATGGACTCGGCGCTGGCGCGGGTGCGGAACTGGAGACGCGTCTGCATCAGCACGAAGATGGGCTCAGCGAGCAGCTCGATGATGGCGGCGGCACCATAGATGCGGAGGGACAGGACAAAATAAGGCGTCTCGAGGGTGGCCTGCTCCACAGAGGACAGGTAAAGGGCGCCCAAGCCAACCGAGACGAAGCATCCGAGGATGACGGCGAGGTAGCCTAGGTTGACGACGGCCTGGTGGATGGGGGTGTTGGAGCGGGCGCTCGAGGGGCTCTGGCGTTGGATGGCGACGCGCAGGCTCTCGCGGGCGAAGAAGAGGACGGAGAGGTAGTAGACCTCGAGCTGGGCAGACAGGCCGAGGAGCGCAGCGGTCAGATAGCGCAGGAGGAGCTGGTTGGCGAGAAAGGTGAGGGCGCGCGAGGCGATCTGCAGGATGATGAGCAGCGAAGCGCCATGGACGGCAGCAGACTCAGACTCGGTGCCAGCAGCGGCAGCGGCAGCAGCAGCAGCAGCAGCAGCAGCAGCAGGTGGTGCGTGGGTTGTTGTGCCTGGAGCATCTGCCGGCGATGATGGGGATGCCTCTGGAGACGGCATCATGAAGCCAGTCGCGATAGCATTGGGGAGGCAGCTTTGGACTTTGGAGGGGTTGAGGGCAGGTCCGAGGGCATGTCGTGGAGGGGGATCGTGGCGGGACTGATTTTGAATCGTGGCTCAGATGGTGGCTCAGTTGGTGTCGTGGTCAATGCTGCGCCGTGGATCAGATCTTGAGAAGGAAGTGACGATCCACCCTGGTCCAAGTCGAGGTCAGGACCATCCCAACATCAACATCCGCAGAGGAAGGACCGTCTGAGGAAGGACCATCCATGTCTGGCAGCGGAGCCGGGCGGATGGTAGAGGTACGTATCGATATCGATCAGCGTACCGGCCGGCGACCGTGACAGCAATAGCCCGCGTGCTACCGCGTGCTACCGCGTGCTACCCGCTGCTCCCAAGGAGGCATTCACCACTCATTCTCAGAAAACACTCCATGCATTGTCGCACCAATCCAGCACCCAACAGCACAAACATCTGAACGTGTCGCAGCAATTCTCGGTGGTTGGGAATTCAACATGGCAGCGCGGCCTCAACACCCGTTAGTGTCGTCATACTAGCGCCAATGGCCACGATTGATTGGGTCACAGCCTTCGAGGACCGTCCCTCGAGTGCCTGCAGTCGCAGCGCCTGGGGGCCTGTCTTGGGTGTTCGCAGCAATCGCAGGGCCCCTACAGCATGCGGAATCCCGGGGTGCTCCTCCTCAGTCTCGCCCACCCCTGCCCTGTCGTCCTGGCTGTTCCTACCTGTTCCTGATTTCTTCCCCACTCAACCACGACCAGGGCGGGAAGCTACAAGGGAAGGGCTACGTGGTACAAGGAAGCCACTCACCCACCTTCCTGCTCAGCCAGCGCCGACTCATCTCACCACCACCACGACCTCTGGCGTCTTTGGCCCCCCCCCCCCCCCCCCCTCCCTCTTCTTCATACCTCGACACTCTTAGCCTCAACCTCATTTCTCTCTCTTTCCTGCCGCTCTGCTAGTGCCCACCCCTCACTCATCTACATCTTCATTTTCAGAATTTTCACTTGACCCTGAGTCTTAGTCGACGTGCCATAGTTCAGCTCAGATCACCTGTCATCACGACATCTCCACTCCTAATCTTGACAAAGTCCGGCGTCCCTGAACAATCCCTGTCACCTGCATCGTACTTGCACATGGTACTGTGAGGACCCAACAAGCACCTCGACCCAACCTCCACGCTCGGGCGCGTCAAATCTTCTTCACCGACACAACAACAAATCCACAACCCACTCTTCGACGGGGAGCCACCAGCCAAGCAGCAGTCGGCAAGGGGAAAAAAAGGTTGTCTGCAAAAGCTTCCCCTTATCGGATATATCCAGCGTGGCCGGCACGAGCGAAAGTGACGAGAGAAGACTCGGAGAGCTCACAGCAATGCCACACCCGACGAGACCACCTGCTGTTCCTCGACCCTGAAGAACCCCGCTGCTCATGGCTCTGACGCCTGACCCTCGCGGCGATGCCTTGGCCGGCCTCATGCCGCCGACGTCACCCCATGCCCACCAGGATCCCGCCGCCTCGCTGCGCTGCTGCTGTGGCCACGACGATTGCGCCTACCTCAAGCACAGCTGCCATGTCCTCGATACCGTCGAGCAGGACGTCCATACTGCCGCCAAACTCGGTCAGGTTAGTTCGCTCGCGCTCTCCTCCCCCCCCTCTATCTCTATGCCTTCGGCGAGCCATCGCGTCCCGCCACACCATCCTGGCCAAGACCAAGCACATTCCAAGGCCACATCCATGCGCCCGCGTCTTTCCTTTGTTTGCCTCGACCGCGGTCCCAGTATCACCGACTCCGCGCATTCCTCGAGTCGTTCACCTCGAGTCATCTGGAATGTTTCCTTTTTTCTTCCCATCTCTTTCTTCTAGCCCGGCACGCCCATCACCTCTCTTCCTTCCCGCCCCCTTGGTTTGGTCTCGCTTTGGCGCCTGTCCGTGTCTCTCTATACCGCCCTCACCTCACCATGTTGATGTTGGATGCCGCTCGCTGGACATGTCGCTGACCTTCTCCCTCCAGGCGCTCCTCGCCCGTCATGAGGCCTACATGGCCGACGCCGAGCGCGATCGCCTCGAACTCACCGCACGCATAGAGCAGCTCGAGACGGACAAGAGGGAACTCCAAGCCGACAACGCCAGGACTGTCGAAGAGAACCGTGCCTTGCTCGACCAGCTCGAGACCCTCAACAACTCGGTCAACAGCTCCGACACGCGCATTCAGAGCCTCGAGGCCACCCTGCTCTCCTCTCAACAGGCCGTCCGCCGTCTCGAAGGCGCTGCTGTCCGAGCAGCCGAGCTGGAACGCCACGTCGCCCTGCTCGAGCGCGAACAGATGCAGCTGCAAAACACCCTCATCAGCACCGAATCAGAGTCTCGCTCCGCCTTGAACCGATGGAAAAAGGCGGAAAGGGGCATCACGGAGCTGCAAGAGCAGCTGGAACGCATGGAAAAGGAAACCAAGGACGAGCGAGAGCGCCACGTCGAGGCCATGGGCCGCGTCGAGCGACAGCGCGAGATGGAAAAGGAGCTCAACACGGCAGCCGGCCGGCTCAAGGGTGCTGCTGCGGCCAAGTCGCTCGACAAGGGCAAGCACGGCAGCAGTGTCGTGTCCCACTTTGTTCGCGACCTGCTCCAGGACAACGCCAACTTGCAACTTGGCATGGCTGAACTACGAGAGCTACTGACCAACTCCAACGATGAGATCCAAGCCCTGCGTGACCAACTCATGTTCCACCAACCCGTGGATGAGGGAGAAAAGGAGGGAGAAAGGAGCACGGCTTCTACGCTCCGCGCCGAGATGGACCCCTCGCAGATGGAGGAGCCAGGCGCAACGACTCGACTTTCTCAAGAACTCCATATTCATCACCACTATCATGTGGCATCCAAAGGCGACAACAAAAAACCCAAGAAGAGGCGAGCCGGCCTCACCCCAGGCATCTTTACACCCCCCAGCGGCGCCTCAACGCCCGTCACGCCCTTCCGAAACCACCCATGGCGGCTCTCGTCCCCCGTCCCGCCAACCACATCAACCCACGGACACCGCGACTCAACCTCGAGCCTCGCCGCACCACCCTCCCACAGATGGTCCATGTTCTCCGAGCAGCAGTCTGACTTTGCAGCCTCGTCGGTACCCAGCTCGCCGCAGTCAACGAGCCATCGGTTCTCCATGTTTGACAAGTTCCCCGACTCGGACTTGCCCGCATCGCCCACAACTAGCGTGGACCCCATGTCCCCGACGATGAGAGCGACACATCTCAAGCGCCCGTCCGAAGTGTCGACGAGGAGTATCTCGATGCCAGCAAAACTCATGATCGCACCTCCCGCCCCGACGCTCGAGGTCACTCAACACCACTTGGGCCCAGAGCCTATTCGTGAGGAGGTTCACGAGGACGACACGGAGATCGAGGAAGTGCCAGAAATCGTCACGACGGAGGAAGAATACAGCTTCTCCACTGACGAGGAGCAGCCACAGCGCCGGCTGCACCGCGTCATATCTCACGAATCCATCATGTCCCTTGCTGGCGGACTCGACATTCACACGCTTAAAGTGCGACCTAGCCAGCTGACGCTGCGCCCTCTTGGTGGTGCTGAGGCTGTCTTCACCGGAGTAACAGCGTCCTCGACCATTTCGCGCGTGACCACCAAACGGAGCACGGCTGTCTTGCGGGACAGTTTGGCCGGTCTGCCAAGCCAGAGGGTGGTATCGACACCAACCCGGAGCCTATCCCCAGCGAGTACCCTGAACGAGGGCCAGCGCAACACGGCCAAACCGGGCCGGTGGACGAGCTGGCGGCCATGGGGCAGCAGTGGCGGGGGCGGCGTTGCTACCAGCAGCAGCAGCAACAGCACCCCGAACGATCCCGAATCCTCGCCGACGCCTGCGCTCACGCCGACGCCGACGAACAAGAAGGCCGACAAGGAGAGGGATCTCCACCGGGCGTCCGGCATCAACCAGCCCGGCGCGATCCCCGGGTTCCAGGAGTACCTGGCGAGCATCCGCACGCGGGGCACGCCGAGCAAGGTGATGCCCGACGTGGTCGATGTCGAAGCCCTGCGGCAGATTCTCGAAGAGGAGTAGTAGTGGTAGACTGGCGCTTGATGGTTGATGATGGATTTTCTCTGGAGGTTGCATGGCGTCTCATTGCATATTTGCTTTTCTTGCTTTTCCTTTCCCTTTGGAAACTCTCCTCATCAGGAAACAGTCTCGGGAGGAACAAACTATCCTGGCGTTGGTCTTTTTTTCTTCCTTGTTTATATTTCTTTTGAACCGACAGGTCAACAGACCTCTCATGGAAGATACCCCCCCACCGAACGGAGCTGGCGTGTTCTCTTTTGTCTGGATTGCATGGCTCAGAAACGGAGCGATTATCACAAAGGATAGGAGTTTCCGTGTGTATACACCTCCTCTTCCACCACCTATTCCTCTACAATTGCTCTTCATCTTGTTTTTTCCTCTCATGCGCTGCACAGCAGCATAATTTACGGGACCACGAGCGTCATGATTCTCAGTTTGTTCAAGAAAGTTTTGGTTTACAGACCACTTAATTTTCATAGATCATTACAATATTATCCTCATAGATTGTGCAAAACGTCCCGTCACCAAAAACATGGACCTCGCCTCGCTCAGTACGACGTCAGCGCGGGACTGCCCTCGGCGCGGGGCAGAGACCACTTTGTCTCGACAAAGACCTTTTGCATGCTCTCCTCGTGCTTCTCAAACTTGTAGTAGACCTTGTCGAGGTCCTCGAGGCGCACGCGGTGCGAGAGCATCTGGTAGACGTCGAGGGATCCGTCCTGGAGCCGCTCGAGCAGCTCCTTCCAGTACTTGTGCACGGGCGCCTGGCCGTTTCCGATGAGACGCACGCCGCGCTCCATGAGGGAGCCAATGTTGAAGTGGTTCGTGTAGCCGACGTACACGCCCGTGATGCCACAGCGGCCAAAGCTGCGCACCGACTCGATCATCTCGTTGACAATCTCCGATGTGTCCGTCTCGAGGCCGAGCTGAAGCTCGAGCCAGTGGGCCCAGCCCTTGGGGTACTCGCCGGCGACACACTCGAGGGCCACGTCGGGGCCGCGGCCGTCGGTGAGGTCGCGCAGGGCGGTGACGACGGTCGGCTTGTTGGTGATGCCGTGGGACAGCGTTTTGTAGTCGACGAGGTAAAGCTTGTCGGCGTGTGCGGCGGGCCAGCGGGACTTGACAAAGGAGAGACGGGGTTCCGTGTCGACGAAGATGACGCGCTTGGCGCCGTCTTCGAGGGCAAAGACACCGGCCATTTGGCCAATGGGACCAGCACCGAACACGGCGACGCTGTCGCCCTCGTACACGGCTGTGTCCTTGACAGCGTTGTAAGAGGTGGACAGCACGTCAGACAGGTAGAGGGCCTTCTCGTCGGGCACATCCTCTGGGATCTCAAGAAGGTTGACGTCGCCAATGGGCACGCGCACGTACTCGGCCTGGCCGCCAGCGAAGCCGCCCGTGAAGTGAGAGTAGCCAAACATGCCTGCCGTCTGGGTTCCGTACATAGCCTTGGCCTGGGTGTTGGAGTTGCACTTCTCGCACTGTGACGAGAGCTTTTGACGGCAGAAGAAACAGTCACCGCAGGCAATCTGAAAGGAGGCAACGTAGCGGGCGCCCTTCTTGATGCCCTTCACGGCGGGACCAATCTCGTCGACGATGCCACAGAACTCGTGGCCGAGAATATCGCCCTTGGCAAGCTGGACAACGGAGCCATGGAGGAGATGCAGGTCGGATCCGCAGACGGTGCTGCCGGTGACGCGGAGGATGACGTCGCGGTCCTCAATAATCTTGGGGCGGGCTGCGTCCACAATCTCGACCGTGTTCTTGCCCTGCCATACGAGAGCCTTCATCGTGGCAGACTTGTCGCCCGTCTTTTCATAATTCGAAATGTCCTGGGCCGTGACCTCGTCGCCCTGGTGGCCGATGACCTGCTCGGCCGCATAGGCTGCTTGTGACATGGCCATGTTGAAAGGGTTGTATTTTTGGGGCGTTATGGAAGATGGTATATGTGCTGGTGAGGTATCGTAGGTATATCGGGTATCGCTAAGGCTCAATCTAGCAAATCAGATGAGTAGTACTGCAACAGTTGTGTAGAAAACACGAAGGCATAGCAGCAGCCGACTCGACAGTTATAGACATGATGCGATCGCAGCGACATGTCCCCCAAGAACTGTTCCTGGAGGGGTCATATTCTGCCGCGACGTCAGAGCTGGCAAATTTGCGGGCACCACGGTCTACAGTCGGCATCTGTGGACTCTCAATGGATACGCCTGCAAGGCGTTGCCCCAGGTTGTGACCGCGTTGTCGCGTCATTCTCGAGATGGGAGATTCCCACAAGAGGACGAAACCCGATGGACGACGTCATGGATCCCACGTGTGCTCCACGGCGATCCGGCGCAGGACGGAGCCACGTCCGGAGCGTTTGGTCCTCTGGTGCAGGGCGGGCATCTCGGCCAACCAGAGGCGGCAAGGCTGAGGTGGGCAGGTGTTGAGGAGGGGCCGTTGCGTGCGCGGCATCTGGGACATGCTCGCCGTTTGGTTCGGGCAAAGTTCGTGATCGTCTTGGGAGGTTGTGCTCTGGATGGGGTCGGCGTTTTGTGGTGACGCGTTATATTTGGGCCTGCTATTCATTCTGGGAGTGTACCGGTTCGATTGAATTAAAAATCGAGGGCCAGAAATCCATCATGTTTGGTGTCGTTGAATCCGGAGAGTAGAAGTTGACGATCGATTGTCACACGGGGCATCTGATTTGTGAAGATGGATTGTCCATTCTCACGATGGATGTGTTCATCGCAGCAAGGCTCTGACGGGATGAGATAGGCAGCATTTTAAGTACATGCAGTTGACAGAAAGGAGAATCCATCTAGCAGATGATCGGTCATCTTATGTCTTCGGACGAAGCCCATTAAGATTGCGCCGATTGCACCTGCCTTGACCTCATTCAGCTTCAACGGGGAAAGTGAAGCCAGGCCAGAAGAGGGTGCCCACGCGGGAAAGAGCCATGCAGCGTGGATAGACAGTGGGGTAGACGCTGACCTAAGCGCTGCCCCCAAATACAGTACATCTCTCGGGGTGAGGGAGATGAGAGAGCGCTCTTGGCGTTGTACCTGTAACCCCCCTCCAAGCCATGAGGGGCAGCGCGGGGGAAGCCTCCACTCTTGCCCCCTACCCCCCTGTAGCGTACCCCAACGCGGGCGGACCCTGCCTGTTCCTGTCACGGAGGCGGCGCCTGACCTGTGTCGCATCCCAACCTCCGAACCGCCCTTCTCCAACTCGATCCAATATGGCAATCCGGAGCATCAAGCGTCCGCAAAGGACAACAAGACCTTACCGTCTGGGACACGGCCCGGACGGTCAGGAACACATGATGGCGAAGCTATAACAATGGGGGGTATTTGCTCGTGATTTCAATTTCGCCTGGTGATGTCGAACTTTCCTCCCACCTCTCTCCTCTCTCTCTCTCTCTCCACAGCCTGACAATTGCTTTTACCCTGACTCCCCTTCATCTCCCCAGTTTGTTGCAAAGTGAACAGCTCTGTTTGCTGCATCGGCATTCTCGAATCCTCTTCCTCCATAAAATCAGATTGGCAGCTCCCTCCCCGCCATCCTCAACATCATGAAGTTCCAGGCCATCGCCCTGTCCGCTTTCGCCGGCGGCGCCGCAGCGCAGCTCGGCATGGGCCGTCCCCCGAGCCCCCACGACCAGGCCAAGGCGACGCTCGTCGAAGACTTCAAGTGGCGCGACCCCTTCACCGAGGCCACCTCGTCGCTCTTCACCCCCGCCTGCGAGGTGACCAAGACCTTCCCCGCCCAACAGTACACCCTGCACCAGCTCTACGACAAGCAGCCCCTGGGCATGTGGTCCTGGGCCGAGGGTCTCAAGGAGGTCTTCAGCGAGCGCGAGTACCCCGGCGGCTTCTCCGGCCTCGACCGCCACGGCTGGGACAGATACATCCTGCTCATGGACTACGCCGACGTGCCACTGCGCGCCAAGCAGTGGATCGAGGCCCAGGCCTCCGGCAAGACGGCAGACCACGGCCTGTTCGCCCTCTTCCAGAAGCCCAAGGACAAGCACCAAAAGGTCGACGACCAGGTCGTCGTGCCCGAGGCCGGCCTCGACCGCGCCGACGACGCCTCGCGCGTCGTCCTCTTCGCCCCGGGCGCCCTGTACAAGATTCTTCCCCTTTTCGTCGCCGAGTCGAGCGACTGCGCCGGTGAGTTTCTGGCCTGCCTCCCTGCCGTCCCATCTTTCCTTTCCTCTTGTTGTGACAAACAGCGACTGACATGATCCCAGACGTTCTCGAGGACCTCTCCAAGTACTCGCCCGACGCCGTCGACGGCGGCGTTGTCGCCTGGCCCATCTCCCACTCGCGTCCCAACCTCAGGGAAAAGAAGAGGGACATTGAGATTGTCATCAAGGCCCAAGTCCTCAAGGCCAATGAGCCGGCCGCCAAGGCCGACGCCGACGCTGAGCCTGAGGCCAAGACGGTGACCAAGGAGGAGCTGTGAGTATGGTCGATATACATGTAGTAGAAGACGGAGAGAAACGAGACGATAGTGGTTTTTTTTTTCTTTTTGCGTCTTTGCCACAAGTTAGGCACAAACCGGGTCAGGAATACACCTTGAGGCGTTTGGCAGGTCATGGTAGAAAATGCATTCCCACTTTTCATCTTTTCGCCAATGGACTCGAACCAAGTGCTCGTCGATTTCGTGTTTGCTTGATTTAGTGAAACGCGAGGCCATGGGTGAGGCGTCATGACCATGACATGAAATGAAAGTCGTCTGCGAGCTGCGAGTTCCCCATTTGATTTCCCAGCGCAACAAAGTAGTCGGCTGCCGCCTGGGCCTGGGCCTGCTCTCGCGCCTGGCGCTCGAACGCTTCGACCGTATCTTGCGTCGCGGCCATGGCCTGGCGGAAGAGAGCCGACACAATCTCATGCAGCCAGCGAATCTCCTTGTCAGTGGTGCGCGGGACCATTTGGTCGAAAACGGCGACGGCCTTGCGAGTCAGTTCGCAGTCGAGCGTCAGGTGGGGGTGCATCGGCTCGATGAACATCTGGGTCAGTACCATCATGACCGTTGCGAAGCGTGCGCTTGCGCTGATCCTGTTGATTCGAAATAAGGTCAGTCTCTTGCATGCCCGTTGCGCAGCCAAACGGAAAGAGGGAGAAGAACACACCAGAAGCCACATTCTGTAAACGGCGCGACGGTGAAGAGCTGAATGAAAGCCCTCGATTGAACCACGCAATTCTCCCACCCAACAGGTGTCTTCCCCTTGCACGATTCAGAAAGGGTGCCGTTGGCGGCGCACGCTGTCATGCTCTGTCGCATCTCCTTGAACCAGCACGTCTCGTCCAGATCAAATGTATAGATGCCGTGCGCATGCACGAGGCAGAGCATGTACGTGCTGTACAGGTTGACCATGTGCACCGCATTGGTCGGAGACATTGAAGTCGCGACGTTGGCCATCTGGAATTGTTCGGGGATCTGCAGACGCCACTGCTCGAGCATGTGGTTGAGCTGCTCCCGGCGCTGGACGCGATCCTCGGGGGAGGCCTTCTTGGAGCGCGTGCTGTAGAGCAGGTCATAGATCTTGCCTTCGATATGGCTGAGGGCGGTGCGCGATCTGAAGTAGTTGAACTTGATTGTGGAGTCGGTCGAGTACATGATCGATACGTTGTCAGCAGGGTCGAGATCGGGAAGCGGCAGGTCAATGTCGGCATCGACTTGGAACGACGGCATCTTTTGGTTCAAGCTGACATCCTAGAAAGGCAAATCAGCCAGCTGCGCCGAGGGGTTGAGGTTAGTGCGCGTCGACTGCGGAACATACCTTGTCGAGGTAGTAGGCTACCCAGAAGATTCGGGCCCTCTGGACAGCTTCATGCTCAGGCAGGCCGTTGGAGCGATCCTGGTCGTGAAGGCCCATGCGATGGGCCAGGCGAATGGTGGTTCCGAGGAGGACAGACGCGGGCTTGGGGTTCTTGGTGCCCAAGAAAAGGAGCGACATGCCCAGCAGGACCTGCAAGCCGACTAGATCTTCCTCCCTTGTCACCAGCTCGTTCACAACGGTCTGGGCGTTCCGCAGGTATGTAGCCGACTTTTCGCCGTCGGTTGCAAAGTCCTTCTCAGACGTGATACACGCACGGTGGGCGATGGCGAGGACAATGTTGATGGCAGCCCATGCGGGCCTCGTGCGATGTATGACGTGGGCGTACCAGTCGGACAGCATGGTCATGAAACTACCCTGATGGAACAGCGGCAAGACGACGTTGAAGCGCGTAAAGTAAATGTTGACGAGAGGCAGCACATCCTCCAACGGCGGCAGCACCATGGGTTCGGGCTGGGCGACCCAGTCACTGGGTGTCGTCGTGTCCGAGCCCGACATGAGGACGGGGCTCTGCCCAGCGGCGGCGACAATGTTGGAGAGCCATTGCGGTTCGGGACTGGGTGTCTCGAACACCTGGGAGGGACTGAAGGGGCCGGCTACTGGTTGCTGAACTGGCGGCGGCTGTGAGTCGGCGGGCTGTGACGCGCTCGCTTCGAGAACTTCCTTGAGCTGGTTTTCGATGAGAGCCAGACGAGCCTCGAGCTCAGACTCGCGGCTTGATACAGAGTTCTGGGCTGGGCGGGGAGGCTTGTCTTTGGCAGCGGCGGTTCTCCGGCGGAGACGTGTTGTCTTACACTCTGATTTGTACAGCAGGCAGTTGGAGCAGTGCGGCTTGAGCATGTCACACTTGATTTTCTTGGTGAAGCACAAGTCGCAAGCTGTACAGGTGGCTTCGTGTCAGCAAAGAGCCCCCCCAAAGACAAGGCCGAGCCAAGCCAAGCCAAGGGAAAAACAAGCAAGGTCCCTAATAAGGGGAGTGGGAAGGCGAACCTTTGCGACGCTGAGACGTCAACTCCATCTTGTCAGCGGATAATGCCAGCGCAATGCCAGATGACTTTGACTGCCGTTGCGATGGTTTAACTTCTTGGGTGAGATGAAGGAAGAGTTTGGCAGGATGGGCCGGATGAGACTCAAGGCTCAAGGGTCCAGCTGAGGGGTGCGTGGTCGCATGGGGTGAGACGTGGGCTTGCGGTGTGCCTGCTGACAGCGGTCGAGGTACCTTGGTCAAGTACCGCCCGAGCCAGACCGGAGGTTGTGAGTGCAGGAGCAAACCTTAATTGACCCCAAACGCGAGGTACCTTGCCTTGTGATAAGAGCCCAATTAGCTGGCGATAGCCGTGCCCAGGTACCTAGGTACTAGGTACATGTACAGGAGGCAAGGCCAGCAGGTGGGTGAGTGGGTTGTAGGGCTGATGTTCGATGGTTTCTGGGTGCTGTTAGGGATTCAGGCCCTTGGTTCAGTGGAGGAAGACGCTGAAAGCTGCCTGGGGATGCCTCGCGATGCCTGGGGGATGACAAATAAGGGTTGGTCTGGCAATCTGTCGAATGGGCGACTTGGTTGTTTGCGGAACGCCGTGGAACTCCGCGGCGTTCGCCTGCTCCGTTTTTTTTTCCTCTGTAGGCGCAATGTTGGCCCGCAAGCCCGCAAGAGCTTCTTCTGCACAGTTGTTTTTTCTGGCCCGTGCATAGCGAGACCGACGGACGTCTTTCAACCGAAACTGCCTTTTGTTCCTCGATAACCTTCAATATGCATATTCTTCGCGTCATCATGCTGCCCGGCCCGGCTAGGCGAGCACATGCAAGGGCCGCTCGGACACGGGCACCATAGTAGTCCCTAGTGTGGCAAGCAATCTTCATGCCCCTCCTTAAAATTGTAGACAATCCTTATGTGCCGACGACGGGCTTGTGGCACATGGCCTTGCCGGCTTGGAAGATATACAGAAGTAAGATATTTTTGGGAAAATTTAGGTTGACCCGTTCTAGGTACGCTGTTGTCACGTCAGCAGCAGAGTGGAAGTCTCTCATAGCCTTACAATTCTCCTCAGAAATGACCGGCCTGTCTTGACCAGACCCTGGCGCACGTGAGGGCTCGGGCTGGCGGCCGCCATCGCCATTGGCGCATTGGGTTTCGCGGATGAGATTGTTGTGGAGTGCCTATCTGCTGGACCTGTACATTCTGCCCCCACATGTACTAATGTAGCTGAGCATCTCGACAGAACGTGCGGAGCCTGCTTCGGCAAAAGGGCTCACTGCTTCACAGGAAGTCATGCTGCCAGGACCAACCAAGGACCCCCTTGCATGATATCTTTGGCCATGTCACAGCACTCTCGCGAGAATTGCCGCGATTCCTGCGACGAAGAGACTTGCCTTGGGGGCCAGCAGCCGTTAACTGTCTGTTAGTGTCAGGAACGACGCTCGCTGTTACGCCTCTTCCGGCTCCTTGGCAGGTGCCAATCTCGGCGTACCTGCTGCCGCTACAGCAACAGTGGCCGACTGCACCTGCTGCACGGTATCGTCATCGTCGTCCAACAGGGCCAAAATCCATCACCACCACCACCACCATCACCGCCATACTTCCCTGCCAACCTGATTCAGGGACCTCGCGAGCAACATCTCTTGCACTGGCACACTGCCTCATGGCTTCTCCCCCGCATGTTCTGACGCCTGCCCCTAGGCTTCCCGTCCAAGACGACACGCCAACAAAGGTAGGCCCACCCGTCACGTCGATCTCTTTTGGCTCAATCGACGTTCTGGCCCTTCAACCTCACCATCGGTCATCGAACGCCTGGCTGGTCTCGACTGCTGCGGCGTTGCGTCCAAACCTGAATTCGTTCCAGCCGCCTCCTACGCAGACCGCATCATGATCTCGCCCTGCATGTACGTTCGTGGTGCGAAGAGGCCAACCGAGCGGCGCAGCAAACGCAGAGAAAGTAAAGATGCGCATAGTGTCCCCGGTTGTGCAGGATCCTTCGCCCCCAAGAGAGCAGAAAACCAACTGGTGATGTTGCGTTCCATCCCCACCCGACCCCTGCCTCAACCCGTTCGAAGCGCAGTTCGTGCCCCTCGTACGACGATTTCAGTGTCGGTGCAGGATACGTACCCAAGCGATCGACACAGGCGCGAGCAGCGCTGCGGGCTGTGAGTCCGGATTCTTGCCCTGGTCGAGGAGGGCGGCAGGAGGGGTTGCCGAACATCAACGTACGAGTATAAGCACCTCTGAACCGTCGTCATAGCCCATGAAATAGCTGCCCACAGCTCAAAGGACCCCTCCTCAAGTCCTCGTTGCCATCCCCCTCTCTCTCGTCTCGATCGCTTTTCCGAATGCTGTGTAGCCATTGCTGTCTGACGCGTTTCTCCTGCTGAAAGCTCTCGGACAACATTGGCCATGGGGCTCATATCAGTCGCTCGCCCGCTGCTGCTTGTCTTCCTATTATTCCTTGCGGGCACGGCATGGGCGCAAAACGACGACGACGACGACTCGAGCAGCCAGGCCAAGAACATCACCTGCTACGGCGTCGGCGGGAAGTCCTACGGTGACAACTACAAATGTCCTGGCTCGAACGCCTGCTGCGGCTCCGTCGACCTGTGCCTGCCCAACAGGCTGTGCAAGAGCGTCGGCATGTCAGACGATATTTTCATCCGCGGACCCTGCTCGATCAACCCGTACGACGAAGAAGAGTGCGCGCAGATCTGCCTATACAGTGGGTTTCTTCCCGGGTTTCTCGGACGAGGGGCTGAATCGGAGGCTAACCTCCTCTCCTCTTGCAGGCGAAAACACAGGCAACGGTCGCTTTCCTCAAGTCACAATCTGCAAAGACGGTAGTTACTGCTGTAACAATGATCCTCAGTGCTGCGCACGCGGACGCGGCACCTTCCTCGACGCACGAGGGAAGGTCATTGACAACCCTACCGCGAGCTCGTCCTCATCTGCCTCATCGTCGGCAACTAGGGGCGCATCCACTTCGTCCGCAACGGCGGCTGCGGCTTCGACGACGGCGAGTGAACCACCCACCAGTGAGACACCTGCCGATCCAGGCTCCGGCAATGGTTCCAGCTCCGGCTCAGGCTCTGGCGACGGTCTAGGCTTGAAGGTCGGGCTCGGTCTCGGCATTCCGCTCGCAGCCATCGTCGTGGCCGTCGGCGTCTGGTTCCTTGTGCGCAGGAGGAAGCGGGCCGTCGAGCCCGTCGAGGTCAGCGAGGCCGGCCAGTATTATGCCAAGGGAAGCAGCCCGCCGCAGAGCACCTTTGTGGACTCACAGACGCCGACGCCGCGGGCCAGCCCGCTCAGCGCACAGTATCAGGTCTCGGAGATGGATGCGAAGCCGAAACAGGTGCACGAGCTCGAGGGCACGTCGACGCGTGATCGGGGCACGGCCGAGCTGCACTGAGGTTGGGGGGGGATTTAGTCTGAGGAGGTTTTGTCTTTTTCAAGATACCAGCTGTTCAAGCACGATGACGCCGTTTTGTTGCATCTGCAGTGTTTCTGTCCTGACTAGCCAAGCCTCGTGCATGTGGCCCGACGATATATGTGCATGACGGTAGATTTTCTCAATGGACCATGACTCCAATGGATGATTCTTGTCGCGACCAAGAAAAGTCCCCCTCTGGCCCCCACGGCAGCGCAACGACGGTGCGTTGAGAATACAACACGCCACCCCAAGATTTCGTTTTGTTTTCGCCTACTGGCACCGCAGGATACAAACGTCCAGCGTCAAGGCGTCAACGGTCGATGGCATCAGAATACCCGGGTATAGATGATCAAGAAATACGCTTCAGAAGGCATATAAATGCCCAGCGTCATGGCTTGTCCATAGCAAGCCGCCTAAGGCGTGACTTGGCCAATGAGAAAGGGCGTGCTGGACGAGTAGGGTAAAAGTACGCTGGGCAGACAAGTAAAATAAGAATGTGAGCTGCGAAGCTAGGGTCCCCTCCTTCCGATACGAGGCGTCGATCGGTGGCTGGCTGGCTGGCCGCCTAGCGGTAGGTACGAGTGCTGCTTTGACTTTGGGGGACATGTGGGCTCACGGCGGCAAAGAGCAACGCGAAGTCGTGGTGTTATCAAGACGGGGGAGAGAATCAATCGCATCCTCGTCACCATGAAGGCGTATTTGTCCTGTCTCTTGGTCCGCTCCTGTCTCCATCCTGCAATGATTTGATTTTGCTGAACATGCTGTCTTCCCCCTTCCTACCTACATGATCAATCACTGAGGGCAAAGGGCTCGAACATGAACGAACACTGCGTTCAGGCATCTATAGGCCTCTACTCGTCAAACGTCGTTCTACCAATCATCAAAACACCTCAAGCGACACGCATGCAGTCTATCAGTCTAAGTAGCCAAGAGACGCCGCCACATCCAGCCCAAACACTGGTCTATCAAGACCCTACGCGGTGCTTCCCGCCCGTCGCCTTGCCCAGAATCTCATCGACCTCGACGCGGTGCTTGGAAAAGTTGTCCACCAGGTCATCCCACATCTTGGGATCGTGCTCGTGGAGGTTCGTGCTCTTCCACGCATAGTCCGTAATCGTCAGGGCGCGGCAGCTCTCAAACATGAAGGCAACGGCGCCCTCGGAGATGCGCATGACGGGCGGGTCCTCGCGGGACGCGGCGGCAAACTGTTCGTAGGCCACGCCGTGGGGCACGAAACCGCACTCGAACGAGACGCTGCCGGGGCGGAAGGCGTCGGAGCGGCCGTCGTAGGCGCCGTAGAGCAGGCCCATAAGCTCCGAGGCGGCATTGCGGTGGTAGTAGGGCGGGCGGTAGGTGTGCGAGGCGACGTCCCAGCGAGGCGAGAAGATGAGAAAGTCGGCGAGTGGCGCGGCTGGATCGCGCGACTTCGCCGTCAGCACGCAGAAGACGGACGGGTCAATGTGGTCGACCGAGATGGAGCCGACGTTGACAAACTTGGTGAGGTCGTATTTGTACGGCACGTAGTTCCCGTGCCAGGCGATGACGTCAAAGGGGCAGTGACGCTGTGCGCTCTGGAAGAACCGGCCACCCAGCTTGTAGACAATGTTCCACGGGTCGTCGTCCGTCACCTCGTACGCGGCGACGGGGTGGAGAAAGTCGCGAGCGTTGGCGAGCCCGTTTGCGCCGAGGGGCCCCAGCTCGGGCAGCTCAAAGTTGGAGCCCCAGATCTCGAGGATGTAGCCCCGCGTAGGTCCCTCGACGTTCACCTTGAAGCGCTGGCCGCGCTGGATGACGCAGATTTCACCGGGCTGGACGTAGAGGAAGCCAAACTCGGTCTGGATGTCGAGCGCGCCTTGCTGCGGAACGATGAGAAAGTCGCCGTCCGAGTTGGCAAACGCCCTCTTCTTCATGCTTGTGTTGCAGAGATAGACGTGGGTCGCCAGGCCCTCCCGCAGCGTGGGATCGCCAGACCCCGCAAGTGTCTTGAGGCCGTCGATAAAGTCCACATCTTGATCGGTTGGGATGTCAAAGGGGCTCCACGCCAGCTGAGTGGGAGAAACATGTACGCGGGGGTTGATGGGAAGAAAGTTTGATTCGACGTCTTCTCGGTTTGGAAGATCCGTCTGCGAGGGGCCACAACCATGTTACTACTCGTGGCTCAGGAATTTCAAGTTCAAGATTGGCACAGGAGCACAACTCACGAATCCTTGGTGGGCGACAGCAGGACGCGAGCGATAGAGCCACGCCTTCTTGTTGACATGGCGTGGGGCGACGAATGCAGACGCAGTCATCTGCTCCGCGTAGAGCCCAAAGCGTATGGACCTCGGACTGTTCTGGCCCTTGGGGATCACACCGGGCACCGCTTCTGACTCGAAGCTGTTGTTGAAGCCAGACATGTACTTGTATGGGTCGTTGCGTCGGGTCTCGAAACTGGGGATGGACCCATCCTTCTGGGTCTCTGCCCAGTGAAAGATGTTCTGGTAGTCCTCTGTGGAAGCCATGATGCGTGTTTGTGACGATGACGTTGATGGTGTTGAGCGACGAGGCACACGATGAAGTGGTTTTTCTGAAAGGCGGCAACCTGCTGGTCGTATATTGTGGCAGACCAAGAAAGAGGCGGGACAAGGAAGAGGGCACACTATATCATCCGGACGGTGTACAGCAAAAGCTCAGCCAGGACTAAAAGCCCAGCCAGAACTATATGTCTGGATGGTCTGAGAGCGGTTCCCCATCTTGTTCGCGGGGCTCGGATGACGGATGACACGGTCGCGGAGATGGCGAGGAGACGTGGGGGGTGGGGGAAAGAACTCGGCGTCGATGAGGGGGCGCATGAACAGAGAGGACCGCCGATCACGACCGGAATACCACGTTGGCTTGAGGAGGACAAGCCATGGCTCGGTGTTCGGGGCCTGCTAGCGTACTGCCTAGCATTTCGATCCCATCGCCTCGGATGGCGGAGCGCGCTGCCAGGTAGTATCGTGAGGTCATGTTTGGCGGTGCACAGTGAGCTCCGAGCGTGTCCAACATCGGCAGTTGGCTGCAGAGCGGTCGGCGCAGAGCACCCAGCGACTCGGTAGATGGTTTCGGGGGTGCCTGAAACGTACTACTATGTATGTAGGTGGGCGGGCAGGTAAGTATCCGACGTGCCTTGGAGGGCTTATCAGATGGTCAGTCAGATCAGAGTCGTCCGGAAGGGTCATGGAGTATTCTCGGCAAGATGGCCGACAACGTGCCATCGACCAGTCCCATGGGAACCGATCGCATCAAGTCGGAATCACGGGCACGTCAGCCGCTGCGAAGAAGAATGCCAATCCCAACAATCAAATGGACAAAGTCAAAATAGCGTTCGCCAGGGGACAATGACTCGCGTCCGCTCTCCAGGTGACGTGCCTTCACGACAAGGTCAGTCGCTTGGCCGAGAGGGTGACGCGGCGAGGACGAGATGCGGCATGGTGCAGGTTGTGGGGCTGGATATATAGCTGGCTGCCGACCTACCTGACCTTGGGTCAGGTAGGCTTGGGTCAGGTAGGCAGGTGCCGTGTGCTGTAACGCCTGCTGCTTGGATCAGGCCTGCTCGCTGTCTCTCACCGCTGTTGTGTCCTCGCATTTTGTCAGGTACGGTCATATGCACCACAACAGTCGAGCTCGAGACCTGACACATGGCAGGAGGAGGGAGTACCATGTAAAATAGGCAGAAATCGGGCAAGACAAAGGTGACGCCGAACTATCTATCTACATGTACCTGATGCGTAAAGTAGCTAAAGGTCAGTCAGGGAGGTGCCCGCCTGCCAGCCTCCCTGCTACATAGTACCCATCTTGCCATTAGCTGTGGGCTGTGATCTGTCAGCTACCTCTGGTGTCTCGGCAGGAAGGTGTGAGTGAGCTGTAAAGCTAGGACCATCTGCTGTCGGCGCTAGGCACCGAACCGAGCCAATGAGATGGCTAACATTTCTAATTTCGAGGCAGGCTCTATCTTATCGCGACGCGATGAACCGGCAATGGCGTCACTCAAGTTCCGCGCCTGCAGATGTTGACGGGTCATGGACATCATCAACTGTGAGGGGAGGTGAGATGGGCAGGTAGTACCCAGGGCCAGGCTGCCAGGAAGCGGGCTGTCACTGGGAGGAAGGGACGAAGGGAAGTGTTTGACTGAGCATGGACAGCATGGTTCGATTGAGAATGAGAGCGCTCTTGCCTCTAAGTAAGGTAGGTAGGTACCTTACCTTACGTGGCAAGCTGCCGAACCGAACAAACCCCTACATACTTCGAAACGCAAACTGCCGTTTACTGTTGCCTTTGTCTCCATTGGTACTTTGTCACTACCCAAGCCCCCATCGACTCGTCACCTCTGCACCTCTGCACCTCTGCTGTTTCGTCCCCTGCGATCCAGTTGACCCTGGCCTGCTACTGCTTTGCTTCGAAGCTTCCCATCATCCCATAACCCCCTCCCTCTTCTCCCCCCTCCATCCTCCATTCTCCCCCCCCCCCTCCCACCCCACCAAAGCTTCCCTTCATGCAATCATCCAGACTCCGACTCTTCCTTCGTCCCAACACCTTTCACCACCTCGTCCCACGCCAGCAGCCGCTACAACATCGCACATTCACAACCGCCCTGCGCACCATGGCGGCCACAGAGTACAAGCTCAAGTCCGTCTCCTCTCTCGACCTTCGCCCCGGCGAGAAGCATGAGGTCGAGGTTGAGGGTATCGAGGGCGGTAAGGTCCTGCTCGTCAACGCCGGCGGCAAGATCCAGGCCGTCGGCTCCAAGTGCACCCACTACGGCGCGCCCCTCGTCAAGGGTGTCCTGACCACCAACGGACGCCTGACCTGCCCGTGGCACGGTGGTGAGCAGCCTTCCTCCCTCGGCCTCTTCTGCCGCCCTTCGGAACAGGCACAACCCGCAGAGTGACTGACCGTGTGACCTCTAGCCTGCTTCAACGCGAAAACAGGCGATGTCGAGGACGCCCCGGCCCTCGACGCGCTGCCCGTCTTCAACGTCACCGAACGTGACGGCGCCGTCTACCTGACCGGCGAGGAGGCTGCCATCAAAGGCAGCCGTCGCAAGCCAAACTTCAAGTGCCGTTCTGCTGCCGGCGCTGGCACCGACAACAAGGTTGTCATTGTTGGCGGTGGCTCTGGTGCGCTCGGCGCCGTCGAGGGCCTGCGCAACGGCGGCTTCGACGGTCCCATCACCATCATCTCCAAGGAGGGCTACCTGCCCATCGACCGGCCCAAGCTGTCCAAGGCCCTGCTGACCGATCCCGAGAAGCTGCAGTGGCGCGACGCCGCTTGGTACGAGAGTGGTTCCGTCGAGATTGTCAACGACGAGGTGACCGACGTTGACTTTTCCGGCCGCACGGTTACCACCAAGAACGGAGGAAAGCACGCCTACGGAAAGCTTGTGCTCGCCACGGGCGGCACGCCGAGGAACCTGCCGCTGCAGGGCTTCAAGGTTCTCGAGAACATCTTTACGCTGCGCACCATCCACGACACGAAAAAGATCACGGCGGCCATTGGCGACAAGGGCAAGAAGATTGTCATTGTTGGCTCGTCCTTCATCGGCATGGAAGTCGCCAACGCCACAGCCAAGGACAACACCGTCACCGTCATCGGCATGGAGAAGGTGCCTCTTGAGAGAGTCCTCGGCGAGAAGGTTGGCGCTGGCCTGCAAAAGGGTCTCGAGGGCAACGGCGTCAAGTTCTACATGTCGGCCGGTGTCGACAAGGCCGAGCCCTCGGCATCCGACCCCTCCAAGGTCGGTTCTGTTCACCTCAAGGACGGCACAAAGCTCGAGGCAGATCTCGTCATTCTCGGCGTCGGCGTCGCGCCCGCCACGGAATTTTTGCAAGACAACAAGGTCCTCCGCCTCGAGAAGGACGGCTCCATCCAGACGGACGAGCACTACTCCGTCACGGGCCTCAAGGATGTCTACGCCGTCGGCGATATTGCGACCTTCCCCTACCACGGCCCGGGCGGAGAGGGCAAGTACACGCGCATCGAGCATTGGGACGTCGCTCAGAACGCCGGTCGCACGGTTGCCAGCCACATCATCAGCGCCTCGGTCAAGCAGGAGGTTTCGATCCCCGTCTTCTGGTCGGCCCTGACGGCGCAGCTGCGATACTGCGGCAACACGGCCGGCGGTTGGGACGACGTGGTCATCCAGGGCAACGTCGAGGAGAACTCGTTTGCCGCCTACTACTGCAAGGGCGACACGGTCGTCGCCATGGCTTCCATGGGCCAGGACCCTGCCATGGTACAGTCTGCTGAGCTGATGCGCCTTGGCAAGATGCCCAGCAAGGCCGAGTTTGAGAAGGGTCTAGATGTGCGTACCGTCGGGCCGCTGGAAGCATAAAGCGATGCTCCATTGTGTAGTTTTCGTATAATGATAATATTCGCAATGTATTCGCCAGCGCGTTTTGAAGTGAAAAGTCAGGAGCAACAGCTCTCTGCATAGCTGCAACCCTTGGTGCATTGTGCTTTTATGGGATGCTTTGCCCCCCTTACTCATCC